AGGGCTCTCCTAGGGAACAAGGTATTGGATGGCTTTTGGAGGCAATTTTACTAAGAGAATGATTCACATATCAATCTCAACTCAATCATCTTCTATCAAGCTCAGCTCAGCGCAAAAGGTTCTTGATCCAACTCCTTTAGTTTTAACAATTATTTTAGAAAAGCTTCAAATTTTGGTACAATGTGACAAAGAGATTAGAAAATACAGATTAGTGACAGCTTATGTTTTTTAAAAATAAGTTAATGTTTTGAAAATAAACGTAAAATGAAATCGAAAAGTTAAAGTTGCACTTGAAGTTGAACTTGGACTATGCATGAAATTGGAATTGGGATTGAATTAGATATTAGAATCAAAACTATGGAAATTAATATTAAGATTGAAGTTAAATAGATGTTTTCAACTCACTTAAATGGCCACATAGCCTTAATAGCCATACTTTAGGGGCTATATTCATTATTGAACTTCACTTGTCCCCCTAATTAGTGAATTTCAAGGAGTCAAATATATAAAATTTGAATTTGGGATCCGCACTCCACGGCACGGTGCAATGACATGCCACCTAGCACTGCCTTAAATTTAATTGTTCATTGTCCTTAAAGTTTTAAGGCTTCCCCACTATCAATCTACAAACATTTTGGGAGGTAAAACTTTCAACATTTCAAATCTTTCCCCCCTAATATTCGTATTTACCAATTTTAATTGCTTTAGGTATTCCTCATGCAAACTAAGATAATAATTTTGATGACTCAAATTAAGGGAGGAAAAGAGAACAAATAGTAAAGAGAGCTTACAAGCCAACTTCAATTCCTCACCTTTAGATAAAGTAGGAAAACATAAGGAAAAAAAAAAAAAATCCCTCATCCTTACATCATAATATAGTTATCGTATTAACCCTAATTAAAGCACGATTAGCACTGTCTATTAAAATACACACATTGGTTATCATCCTCCCCCTTTTGATCACTTTATCCATTGTGAGAGTTGAAACAAAATCCATAAAAAAAATTGGATTTTATAAGGAACCTTCCAATAACAAATTATTTGCAATGATGGTCTAGTCCAAGGTATTATGTCATGAAACAACAAATTGTAAGCCAACTTTGTCGAAAAAAATCCTTTTATCTTACACTACCCAAATCAACTCATCCTCATGATCCTGGCACGGCTTTAGTTCTTGTATCTCCTCAAGAAATCCTGAAAATTGCACTATAATAGAGTCAGAAACTCTATAATATCTGCAGCTTACATTCCATACTTTTGCCTGCTCATCATAAGCCTGCTCAACCAAAATGGACTGCTGATTAGTTGCTTCAAACACAAAAGGATAGGTTGTTTTTAAGCTGCAATCACCTGCACATTTACTATGCCAAAATGATACTTTGTTGCCTTGGCTAATGATCGTCACAATCCCTTTATTTTGTAGAATCCCCTTCCAAACAGTAGATTTGTTCCTATCCCTTCCTCCACTTCCAATCCATAAATTATTATGATCCACCCCATATTTTTCAATAAGGATCTCCTTCTATTACATACCATCCTCACTCATTGATCTCCACCACCACTTTGATAAGAGAGCTTGATTTGCATATTTCAACCTTCTAATTCCCATTCATTTTTCTCTTTTAGGTGTACAAATCATCTCCCAACTTATTAGATGATACTTATTACTAAAGTCTCCTGATCGCCACAAAAAATTTCTCATAAGCTGCTCAATACTTTGAGATCGCAATAGGCATAACAAGTAACGACATCTGATATATTGGTAAATTTGATAATGATGCATGAATCAAAGTCACTCTCCCTCCTAAAGAAAGATGCTTAGCTTTCCAAAGGTCCAGCTTTGTATTACCCCTCTTCACTACCAGATCCCTAACAGATTTTGCCATCCTACCACTAGAAATTAGTAAGCCAAGATAGACAATCAGAAATTTCTCTATTTTGCAGCCCAAATGAAAGCCAGCCTATTTAAAAGTCTATTTTCACAACCCACCCCCACAACAGATGTTTGTCAAAAATTGACTTTAAGACAGTCATTTCACAGCACAATAGTAATCTCCTTATATTTACTATCTAATCAACCTCAGTATCACAAAACATTAGCGTATAATCTACATATTGCAAATAGGATCCGGTTTCTGTGCGGCCAAGCCCGCATATGTAGAAATGCGGGCCTCTTGATAAATCTATTTTTTAGATGGATTTTAAGAGTTAATTTTTAAGGACATGTAATCTCTAACATGGAGATCATTAATATGAATAAATAAATAAATTTTTAAAACTAAAAATAATAATTCTGATAAGAAAACATTTAGACCGTTAGTTTCATTATTTTTAGATGGAACACCTACTTGCATCCATCTTTCAGATGGATGCTTTACACTTTCTGCACCAAATATGTAGAAATGTGTTCCATCCCGCATGAAACAATTTTCCTTACAAATATGATACAGTTAAATGGGATGAACGAGGCAACTTGAAACCATTGTAACCTTCCTCTATTTTCTACATTTCGGATCATTAAGCTAAAAGCTTATGCAACTACCGTGAATAAAAAGGGTGATAATGGATCCCCTTGTCTTAAGCCCCTCAAAGTCCTAAAGAAACCTTTCGGACTCCCAGCAACTATAACCAAAAAATATGCATTAGAGATACATCCTATGATCCACTTTCTCCATTTTTCCCCAAAGCGAATATACCTTAAAATTTCTAAAAGGATATCTCAATCCACCCGATCATATGCTTTCTCCATATCCAATTTCAACAATATACCTAGCTTTCCTTCTAATTTCTCGAATGCACACTCTTGCGCAATCAACACTCCATCTATGATAATTTGCCCATTTATAAAGGCAGACATCGTCCCAAAAATGACCAAATTGTATACTTTTTTAGCCTTTCTGTCAAAAGTTTTGCAATAATTTTATACAAACTAGTGAAGAGACTTATTGGTATAATATCAAAAAACCCTGGGATTGATTGAGTCTTTGGAACAAAAGCCATGCAAGTTAAACTCATGGCATTACTCAAAACTCCCTTGGTAAGAAATTCATTCACCATAAGCATCAAATCCAACTTTGTCAGATCCCAAAAATTTTGAAAAAAACAAATCCGAAAACCATCAAGTCTAGACAACTTCTCCCTTGGCAATGCAAAGACCGCCATTTTTATCTCTTCGTCCGTAGCCAAAGCCACCAAAGACACCGCTACATCTGGTGGTAATGATTTGAAAATTACATTCTGAAAATTTGATATGAATTGCATATCCTTTGAGAAAATAGATAGGAAATGTTTGACAAATTTGAGCTCCCATTTATCACTATAATTCTCCTCAACACTTCAAAGCAATACCCAATAAATTCATTTTGCCTTCTATATGAATTGGCAATTGTATGGAAGAACTTAATATTCAAATCACCCTCTGTCAACCATCTCACTCTGGAATGTTGTTTCCAATATATCTCTTCAGACCGCAAATGCTTATGCAACGATGTAATTAACCATTTTTTTTCCTCTTGCATCTCTATTGCTAAGATTCCCCCGCTTTGCACCCTACTCTCAACACCCTCCAATCTTATCATTATCTCAAAAAAGAAAATTTCAGAGATGCAACGTTTCAGGATACAAAAATTCAGAGATATAGCATTTCAACACACTACCCTATAAAAAGAAATTTTCAAATTACACCATCTACTTGGGAAAAAATAGGATCTTAAGATTATTTTTTTAAGGGCGAGATCCAAGCATCTGAAAAACATAAAATCTGATTCTTTAGTTTTCACCACCGTTGGCATCATTCATAAATGATGCCCAGCTTAAACAACGCTCAAATTCAATGACCGTCCATCACGATCATTAACAGCCCAAAATCTAATTCTCTTTTATTTGAAATTGTTGATAAGATAAATCAACAAGAATCCGCAAACTTTCAGATCAAAGAGAAATCCAACGAACCATGACCATTTTTTTGAGCGAGGCCACAAGATTATCCCACGGGACCATTAAAGAAGATTCCGAGAGCAGATTAGAAGAAACATGTAATAAACAACATGCAGTAAACATGTAATAAACAACATGCAGTAAACAAGAGTAATTATCCAATGAGAGTCTCCCATGTGTAGGACCCCAAAGGATCACACACACATCTCTAAAAAAATCAAGTCTCACACCCATGTGATAACTTTTTTAAAGATCTGCGTCAAATTTAATAGTAATTCTTTGAGATCCTACACATGGGTGTAAAAGAGTCTCCTAGGATTAAACAATAATTGAAACATTTCACCCCCCTCCCATGCACCCTTTCCGAGGGTCCGCTATCTCAAAAAACACTAAATGTGTCAAATTTACTTCAATCGAGTCTAAATCCTTATGATTTTAAGCCTAGACCGAAGCAAAGCAAAACCTGGTGCAACTACATCCATCAAGTTCGAGCCGCTTCGATCATATTCAGACTTTGGACCGATTCAACCGAAACTTCGAGTGAAACAAAGAAATATCTAAATAAAAGTAATTTTTTGTTTTTTTTTTCCATTGTTTTTATATATGTACAAATAAATGGCTAATTTATTAATATTAAATTTTTTTAAAAAAATCCGGAGTCTTTGCCCGAAGAGCTGAAGCACCAAATTGCTTCATTTTTTTTTCACCAAACCAAAAAAACTCCAAAGCGATTCTGACAACATTGGAAAAAGCAAACCCTTGATTTGACTATTTTTGGCAACAAACCCTTGATTTCACTATTTTCAGCAAGATTTCACTATTTTCGGCAAGTAGGCAGAGCACATGCAGAGTTTGCTTCTTCGTTTTTTTGAGACCAGAATTTGCTGTTCCAATTCAAACAAGAAGAAAAAGATAGAAAGAAAACTGGGCATGCAGGCATAAAATTCGCATGGAAAGGGGGGAGGGGGAGAGAGGATGAGAAGACCAATACAAAATCCACAATGCCTGTGTGAAACAGGGAACCAATCGCAAATCCAAACACAAAAGCCATTAACAGAGACGCAAACCTCAACTATGCACGATCGCCGCTCAACTCTTATTCCGAAGTAATGTAGCCTCCGTAATTTGTATACCATAGGATACACAGAATCAGAAACTAAACATGCAAATCACATCCCATAATTTATCAAGGTTCTCCCATATAATCCACATAATTCACTGAACTACGGTTCCTACCATCTGGAGAGAATGTCAGGGATTCACTGAACTTGAATTCCTCCTACCTAAACAAAGAGAGATTGATACAAAACTGCATTTCGAACCTAAATTCAATATCATGCCTTACACAAAAAGTATAGCGAAAGTACCACCATCACCATGTTTCAAGAACTAACCTCTTTTAAAGGAGCCTTGAAACTCACTTCTTAACCTCCTCGTACTCAGCCTCAGATGCCTGGTCCCCACCGCCCTGTGAGCCCCCGGCACCACCAGCGGAGCCACCTCCTTTGCTCATGTGTTCCCCAATCTTTGAAACGGCCTTGTTCGCTGCATCGAGCTTGGCCTTGATCTCTTCAGCATTCTCTCCTCCCATAGCATTCCTCAAGTCAGACAATGCACTCTCTATCTCCGAAATCACTTCGGCTGGCACCTTGTCTCTGTACTCTGAAATACTCTTCTCGATGCTATATATGGTTGTATCTGCACTGTTCCTTATATCAATAAAATTCTTTCTCTCCTGGTCCCTTTGTGCATGGAGCTCAGCTTCTTTAACCATTTTCTGTATCTCATCTTCTGAGAGCCCACCAGATGAACGGATGGTTATCTGTTGCTCTTTACCAGTGGCCTTATCCTTTGCCGAAACAGTCACTATACCATTGGCATCAATATCAAAGGTGACCTCAATTTGAGGCATTCCTCGAGGGGCAGGGGGGATGCCCACAAGCTCGAACTCTCCTAAAAGCTTATTGTCAGCTGCCATCTCTCTCTCTCCTTGAAGAACACGAACCCCAACTTGGATTTGGTTATCGGCAGCTGTAGAGAAGACTTGGCTCTTCTTGGTTGGGATTGTAGTATTTCTGTTGATAAGACGAGTGAATATGCCACCTAGGGTTTCAATTCCTAGAGAGAGAGGAGTCACATCTAGCAAAAGAAGCTCCTTCACATCTCCACGAAGGATGCCACCTTGAATGGCAGCACCCATTGCTACTGCCTCATCCGGGTTCACTCCCTTGCTAGGGCTCTTCCCAAAAATTTCAGCCACCACTTCTTGGACTTTCGGCACTCGAGTCATGCCTCCAACCAAAAGTACTTCATCAACTTCTTTAGTGGAGATCCCAGCATCTTTTAAGCAGCTTTTGCAGGGGGTTCGAGTTCGCTCAATAAGGTGGTTGACGAGGCTCTCGTACTTGGAGCGAGTAAGTGTGATGTTGAGGTGTTTAGCACCAGAGGCATCGGCGGTGATGAAAGGGAGGTTGATCTCAGTTTGGGTCGTGGAGGAGAGCTCAATCTTGGCCTTCTCAGCAGCTTCACGGAGCCTTTGGAGGGCAAGACGATCCTTTGAGAGGTCAATGCCCTCAGTCCTCTTGAACTCGCTCACAAGGAAGTCCAAGAGGGTGTTGTCAAAGTCCTCACCACCCAAGAATGTGTCTCCATTAGTTGCTTTAACCTGTATAAAGTTTTAAACATGAGGTACAACGGACTTGAAACATGGCACATTTTTCAAAACAAAGATTGCAAACTTGTACTAGTCCAGTGAACAAAGAAAAAGATTGTCCATTGGGTCAACACTGTCCCAGCTTCGACGGGGAGAGAGAGGCACCCATCGTTTGGATAATGCATGGTAACAGCAGATCCCACTCTCCAAATCATTTCAATACACATTGATGACCCCAACAGACTAGGGTTGATTCATCAACAGAAAGGACTACAGTTCCTTCAATATGAAAAATGCAGGAGAAACAGTGAACTCAAAATACCAATTTAAAGTGGGGTAAGAGTGAAGGGCCGTTATTGTAGAGTGGACCATGAAAGGGCCCAGAGGACCATTAGGATCAATACTGATGTGCCCACTCATTCCACTGTCAATTTATGGGCATACACGACCTCATTGGACAGCTACCACATCTGGAAAAGGACAAATGATTTTCCCAAGGTCCAGTGGCTTAGAGTACACTTCTCCATAGAAAGAAAAAACAATGAAACCAAAATGCAAACAATTCGTATGTTTTTTTAGTTAGTGACTTCGCAACCAGATCAAGGCTAATGTCTCACGACTATTTGCGCATCAAACATTTTTTTTTTTTTTGAAAATAATTTGCCCATCAAACCTATTCAGCTTGCTGAAAACACAACAATCCCTTACCTCAAAGACCCCATTGGAGATCTCCAAGATAGAAACATCAAAAGTACCCCCTCCAAGATCAAAGACTGCTATGAGACCCTCCTTGTTGTTCATCCCATAGGACAGAGCAGCAGCTGTGGGCTCATTGATAATCCTCTGAACATCAAGACCAGCAATTCTTCCTGCATCCTTTGTTGCCTGCCTCTGCGCATCATTAAAATAGGCTGGGACTGTGATCACAGCTTTGGTCACAGATTTCCCAAGGTACGATTCAGCTGTTTCCTTCATTTTTGTCAAAACAAAGGCCCCAATTTGGCTTGGAGAATATTGTTGACCATTGGCCTCAACCCAAGCATCACCATTTGGGGCCCTGACAATCTTGTAAGGAACCATCTTCATCTCCTTCTGAGTCTGAGGATCATCGAATTTTCTCCCAATTAGGCGCTTAGTCCCAAAAATAGTGTTTGTAGGGTTTGTTACAGCCTGGCGCTTGGCTGGGGTTCCAACGAGAAGCTCTCCCTTCGGGTTAAAGGCGACCACTGATGGAGTTGTTCGAGCTCCTTCAGAGTTTTCAACCACTTTTGGATTCTGCACATTTCATGGCTAAGTTAGTTACCAACGAAAGCATCTCTGAAGAAAACGCATTTAAAAGCAATCAGGAAGGAACATCAAGCTGTACTAAAACTAGGACAAATAAACAACAATCACTGGACCATGGTTTCTTACACTGCTTGCCAAATCATAGTGTTGTTTCCCTTAGAACAATAAGAGAAGATGAACACCTTTACACATGAATGGCAGGCAAATATCAAGACATTATACATATCATAGTTAAAAATTTAAAATAGAATAGTTAGAAATTTTCTCTGACAGATTAGGATTTTTTATTTTCAATTTGGCTTGAGGAAATTACTTTATAATACAGATAAAAATATATTAGGCAAGAAAGCAAAGTACCTTTCCCTCCATGACAGCCACACATGAATTTGTTGTACCCAAGTCAATTCCAATGACATCATTCCCAGCAGGTTTTGAGCTACACAACATAAGTTGGACACCTTGGTTAGGAAGGAAAGACAATAGATACCATGCTTTTTGAAACTGTTTTTTTTTTTTTTTTGAAACTGCAATAGATACAATTATCATGCAAAAGAACACATAATTGTTGTTATTCAGATCAATAACCAGGGTCTCCCAATCAAGGGGTCGATCACGCTCCGCAAGCTAGCTCCTATGCTTTACGGAGGGGATCTCACTCCTCTCAAGTCTTAGACCTTGGGATCTGAATCCTTCCTACTAGAAATCGAGATCCTGAGTTACACAGGATCCAAATGCCTTTGCATCATATCTAAGCGTTCATAGGTACAGTAGACTGAGGTTCACCCAACAAGGGATCAAGATTCCCCTAGGAGTAGATTCATAATCCCTCTTGTCCTCTTAAATGGGTCACGAATTTGAACATTGAGCTTCAACTTACCGCAATGTAATTGCTATTTGGCATAACTAGTCAACATTTTTATATAATATATTAGCTTCAAGTTTCGTTCACACAATTTCCGATGGTGGTAGACTATACTGTCCCTTTGGGCTCTTTAACAAGTCATGAGTTACCTTGTGCTTCAGATTAATACTTTTGTTAGCACTTTTTATACAACAAAGAAGGATGGCCATGATTATTATTACATTCCATAAAGTTATAAACTACACTCAAATAATGCATAAAATATAATCTTACGTAATGATTAAATTTTCTTAATTTTTTATAGAATTTCAATCTCTGAAATTCTTCAGTGCCTTATTATAATATGAACTATGCTCGAAGGAGTACAGAATATTAAATTATTATAGAGTGATTGGACTTCTTACACTTTTAATAAAATTTTGAAATGAAAATTCAATAATCATTTGCAATATTATATGGATTGTGCTCCCAACCTAGCAAACCCCAGTTAAGTGCACTTCAGGACCTTGATTTTTAACGAAATGGAGCTCAGACCTGTGGAACTTATCATTCGATCCCCAGATGTTGGAATCGAGCTCCCGGAACATATTGGATCTCAATCCCTAAATTTTGGGATATACAAACAGTGATCCCAAACTTAAGACCTTCTAGCCTTTCACAATCCCTCGCTTCCAATCCGATCGAGGAAAAACCCCAATCTGGATCCCGGTAACTACGATTAGATTACCTGAATGGTCTTGCCAAACTTGCCCATCTGTTGCACCAAGGAGATCTTGTGTATGGCGGCACTGCATTGCTACCAACCTGTCACCAAAAGAAACCAAATATGAATCAAGATATCTTGTAGGTGATATCAAACTACCTTTTATCATATCCCAAATAGAACCATTACACGCTTTCCAAACATGATTAAAGAGAACCCAATACGGTTTCTGTAAAAGATCACAGTTGAGAAATTCAATCAATCGAAAAATAAGGATTTAAATAACAAAAATTAACAGTTAAACTAGAGACGCAATGGAATGTTCCACACACTGCAACTTCATTTAGGATCATCAGTGATACATTCTTTTTTCTATATTAATTTAGGATAATCCCTCCACATGTAACCTGTAGAAATCTACAAATTGAAAACTGAACACAGGAGAGGACGGCCAATTGCAATTGAAGTTCATTAATATTAAAATACAGAGAAACTACAATCGGAAAACTGTGTATACATAAAATGGCAATAGGAACATCACAAATTTATACAAGTAGCGCCCCGAAAGAAAAGCTCTAATCAATAGGGACCCATACTTAACACTTAAAAAAATAAATAAATAATGAATAACGGAAGTTCCTCATCTTCCTCATCCACAGTCAATCCTCAAAGGAAACCTCCTTCCTCACAATTCCTTCCATGTCCAACCATGATCTCTTTGGAAGTATTTGAACTGTTACCAAAACCTAGTGTTAAAGACTCCGGGGGGAAAATAAGATACATATCTTCCCCATCCCAAGGACCCCTCTTCCAAGTCCCAAACCAGGGAATAATGCACAAAAATCAACATTTAGATATCATCACAATAGGAGAAAACGCAGAGTCGAATTTCTCACAACTCCACTTGAATCTGGTGCCATGTAAAACAAGAACCTCAAATGCCAATCCATCCATTCTATAGAAAACCAGAAAATAAGATACATATCTTCCCCATCCCAAGGACCCCTCTTCCAAGTCCAAACCAGAAAATAATGCACCAAAATCCACATTTAGATATCATCGCAATAGGAGAAAAAGCAAAGTTGAATTTCTCACAAGTCCACATGAATCTGGTGCCATGTAAAACAAGAACCTCAAATGCCAATCCATCCATTCTATAGAAAACCACTTAGTCATCCTATTCAGGGAAATAAACCCCTCCCCTTACTTCTCCTCTTGAACTCATTGTTCCATCATAAAGAAACTTAATAGACCTTTAAAAGTAACAGTAATTGATGGCCCACTACGGCGCCAAGCATACATGCACCTCGCAGGCAAGGTCCACATGTGCTCATGCTGTACCAAACACTAAAAAACTTCAAATAGCTTCCCAGTGGTCACGATCAGGTGGTAGCACGCAAGACATGCACGTGATAATAGACACGTTATCTGATCATATTCTGGCAAGAGCTCCTCCATAAAATTTTGTAAGTTCAGACTTCAGACAATCTCCGAAATTTTCCATTGATAGAGACTATCCCTGCCATCATGCCAGGAATGGAATCCAGCCAAATTCAGCTGAATACAAACTCAAAACCTCAATATCACTCCCAAAGAACCAACACTAAATGCAATCTCCTGATTGATAACCCATGGTTTAAATCATTAGATGTCAAAAAAGACTCAAAAGTCAAAAATTAGTGCAGTATGGGTGTGCAGATCCTTTCTCCCCCGTCCCCATCAATCTATTCCACTGTGACAAGGTAAATAAAAAGATCAACTGACCAAATTTATTATGATAGTCACAGGTCCCTCTGTTTTCTCCTTAACCCCCAACACAGGAGATGTGACTCCTATTGCTCTCCTCGACTGCATATTTTTACAAATATAACTGAAAACATTTCATTGATATAGTACCAGAAACCAAACTCAACATTACCCTCAGCCAAATACAAATAAAGATGAATAACAGAGCACTCTAAATTGTAGTTACCACATATGCATCAGAGCCTCACAAATTTTAGAACAAATTTGCAACCATTCCTTGAATGTAGATTTATTTTTACATAAGATCTCACTGTACAATTGTCTGTGAAGCATGTGATGCATTGTGAACTAAACACAAATGAGGTAAAACTATGCAAGGGAATCATAAGAAATTTCCCATAATAAACCACTGACCAATCTATAACCTCTTGATGAGGAACTTAATGATGTTTTAACTGACGTAGCACACAGCAAAAACTAAAAATATGTTAGAGTCAATCTCTACCGGATATACAAATAAAACTGAGGGAGGTAGTTTGAGCCACTTAGTAGACATACCACCCAAGAAGGACTCCACTTATTTCAAGACAAAAAAAAAACAAAAGCAACACCCAGTGGAAGAAACAAGAAGTCCAAAATCCATCTCCAAACAATTTCTTAAAGAATTAACAGGTCGAAACTCTCCTGAGCCTTGATACAAACATTTTTTAACCTCCCCCACAAGGTTTAAAGCATCCAAATTGTTAAAGAGGCAGTCCATTCATCTTAACCCATTCCAGGTATGGGGATGAGTAGCATGATTTCTTTAACAAAACTCTCACATACTGGTAAAGCCAAGATTTGTAAAAGAAAGATGACACAGAAATGTCAACAAGCTTACATGAAATGTTGACTGTTGAACATCACATTATATAGGATGGAATAACTACCATGTAATCCACATACTACATTTTGTAAGCATCATACATGCACATCAACAAATTAGCAAGATCAAACTGCAAACGATCACTTGAAATTATGCATGGGAAATGAGAAATTTACAATTAATTGTGATTTCAACAGATGTATCAATTCTAACGGCAAAAGTCTTTCCATATATTGTCAATCGTCAATCTAAATACCAATAATCCCCAAGATAACATCTATTACTATGGGTATTCATTCACATATACCAAAAGGAGATACTCCTTATGTCAATAAATGCAAATGGCACGTGAGTCACCACTTAGATGCCCACTAAAAGTAAGTACGTATGAGATAAAGAATATAAATTACATCAAAAAAAAATTTTATGGTCAGCATAGACAGGGATGTGGCATAAGCCCTTTCTAAACTGAGACATGCATATAAATCTTCAGCTTCATATTCAAATGCTAAATATTAGCAGAAAGAAACATCTCATGCATACTTTCATACATATTTTGCATCAATTTGGTAATTTCAATATAGGCACAGTGAAATGCACCTAATGATTCTTTTCATTGTATAGAAGTCTCTAAATTCCATCTCTAACAAAATAATTCAGTTGAAAGAAAGACATAAAAGTGAGCAAGCTTTTTTCAACAATATTTATAAAATATTCATCCAGCATGCTTGAAAGACATGACTTTACAAAAATTCATTCACCAACACAACCAAGACAATCAAGGCATTATATCATCTAAAATCCACTTGAAAATGGTGTGATCTGCATCACGGCCAACTTATGACCGTCAACCATTTGATAAGCAAAGAAGATTCAAGAGAATCCAAGCACATTAAAGAAGATTAATCACATTGATTATGAAGTCACAAATACATGGCAGATTGGACAAATGAAGTCTCAAAAAGTAGCACTACTTGTTTAAACATCAACATGTCACCTTCAAGAGTACATGGAAATCATAAAATTAGCAGGTAAAACCCAATTGAACCCAGTAGATGAACAATGTCAAACAGCCATGAGTAGCGCACAACAGATTAGAAGGAATCAAGCAAACGCATCCATTCACAATATTAAACTTCAATGAATCCCATCAAAAACCTGAGAAGCCCTCTTGGGTTTACCAGAAATCTAGCAATTAATTAAGTTCATAGCTCATACACATTGAATAAATTTTGTTAACGCCACTCCCACCAGTATCTCAGAAAGTCCACAAAAAAAAATATCCTATCTCGAAGTAGAATGAATACCCTCTATACATGCACTATAACCCCATTTTTTTGAACTGGGTCATGATCTCAGTGCTTCTCTAACTCTGACAATCCAAGAGAAACAAAGAAGGCAGCACTTCGAACTATTGATCAAAAGATCGGCCGATTTTCAAAAAATTGGCCGACTAAATCAGGATCGGTCACTGGCCGATCCCGAGTAGTCCCGATTCCAACAGTCATGTATTCTGAATTTTTTTTATTGCAATAATCAGTTGATTTTTTGTACTAATCAGCACAAATCAGCCAATTAGTGCATTAATCAGCACACTAGCCTCTCTCTATTTGTTTTTCTATTGGGTTCTCTTTCTCTCCCCCTCTCTCACTCTCTTTCTCCCTTACTCTCTCTCTCCCTCTCTATCTGTTGGGTTGGGGCAGGTCCCTGCCCCAACCTCTCTCTCTCTCACACTGTTGAGGCAGGCTGCCCCAATGTCTCTCTCACTCTCTCTCTCTCTGGAATTGTTGGGGCAGGAGACTGTCCCAACCTCTCTCACCTCCCTCTCTCCTCTCTCTACCCTCTACTCTCTAACTCGTTCGA